CCCCCCGACGGTCTTGCTATTTTCTGGTAATAAAATTTTGGGTTTTCTTTTTTTTTTAATATTCTTACTGTTTTACAACTCTGTGTTGTTTGTAGTTTTCCCTAGCACTACAAAAATTTATTCGTTTTCCTTGTTAGAATTTTAACTCTGCTTAGTCTTAGTGTCTTCATATCAAAGATTTGCACCACATCGAAGTTTTTGCGATTTTCTGTACTTTATTTTCCAGGGGGAACGGAAGGGGTTTCTTTCTCGCCCTCCCTCATTTCCTTCCTCAGTTCCCATTCCAAAATGCACTATGAATGTTAACATTTTGTGAAAAGAAAAATTCAAACTATTACGGGTGCTTTTTTTGCTAGAACCTTGTTCATATCTGGAAGGTTGGAAAGGCTATTTTTAGTCCCGGCAAATTTCCCAGCGAAGACAAGACGTGGTATGCTCGAACTGCCATGGAACAAACACAACGCTTTGGAGAAGAGATCATCACGGGCAACCTGTTTGCAAGTAACACATTATTGTTATCAAGATAAAAAAACCCTACTCTATACTCGCTTTTTATTAGTGGCGGAGGCGCTCGGGAAGTAGTACGATTGGTAGCAAGTGCTAATAGCAGACTTAGCTGGCAAAGTTTTCATCGATAATTCCCTATTTTGAAAGTTACTTGTAAGAAAGCTGTTGTGGGTTTTAATACCTTGGCATACGCTAGTACCAATTTACAATCGAAATGTTTAAACAAGTCGTAAAAGGGCTGTTGGTTTTGCTAGTTATTCCACCAGCAGAAACGCGTAAGTTTGAAAATTTAAGACAAGCTGGAGTTAAATTTAATAATTTGTAAGCCCAACTTTAAGAAGTCAAAGCGTATACCAGGACCACCAGCAGACTGGCCCCGGGTGATGCAGCGCTGGTCGAAAAAACTTGAAAAGTTACCAGTTGCATGGCTCGAGGATCAAACTGAGCATTATATACTTGGATAACTTTAGCTCATCTACAAGAGAATAAGTAGATTAAAAAAATCTACTGACTTATTTATAACACTAGGCTTTCTTTCAGTGCGTGTGGGTTATACTACAGGTTGCATCATGTGCAACGTCCAGCATCGATGAAGAAAGAAGGGACCCTGCAAAAACGGAAGAGGAAACAAAAATCGGACAGTGGTACTATTGCTGGTACTCCACGACAGCCAGCGACATTTAAAAAACTCAGTAGCAGCATCCAGGAGAGAAATAACCGAATCTATGCTCATTCTCATTCCGGTAAGCGAGTGCAGCTGGCACAGCGAAAGAGAAAGAGTGATGGCATGAGGAAATTGTAGGATGAAGGCGATGTGGCGAAATTTGTTCCCCTTAAATATTTAATTCAAAGATGAAAGAAATTATTCACATTCAAATTTTAGTCAGTCGTCAAGCAGGACACATATGCACTTACCTACACAGATGTCACGCACTTAGTACGTAAGAAGCGAAATACAAAAGACACAAAAAGCACTGCGAAAAAACTCACAGCGTTTAAGATCAGCGCAACAGAAAATAGCACCTTAACGCACAATATCTGTGAAGGAAGCGAAAAAGCGAAGTTATGTCCCGGTGATGTAAATAAAACAGGAAAGAAGCAGTCGGTTGTTCAACTCTTAAGTTGTGTGAGGCCTAATATCAAGAATACCGGAGGCCGCTCTGACAATCAGTGTAGGTATCCCATAGCTCCCTAGCAGTAATGTTACTGAGATGTTTGCAGACTCCAGGCGCAGCTGCGGAGCTTGATAAATGGAGATTAGTACTTCAGGGGACAAAAAATCGCTTTTTTTAGAAAATATGGGTTAGTTTAACACACATATTTGTAATGTCATCGATATTCACAGTTGGTATAATGCTACAAATTAATCACACGAATGTTCAGCACATGGCAGAATAGGAGGCTGTACTGATGATTTCAACATGACACTTAGTCCAATCCCCTTTATTCTACTGTTTCATCGTATCACAGCAACGGAAATGACTGAGATGAAGTGGAAGTTCTGAGATACACACTAGTGATATTTCAGAACAGCTAAAGCCTTATCATATGTCTCGGCCAGTTAAGTTCAAGACGAAACGGATGTCAAGGATGCTAACAGCTGATTAATAAGCTAAGTAGCAGTGGGCAAAAGAGTTGGAAAAGTAGTAAGCAGTGGGATTAGCAATGAATTATAATCGATAAAATATAAAATATCAAAATATGCCATCGAAGTTTTGCTAATTAGTGGTTGTTGCTTGGTACCTGCTAAAATCGGGTTGCTTCCAAAATATTCTGTCTGTTGCAGAAAATGAATACGGAGAGAGTTTTGATTTATGAGTTTTCGGTTTTGACTGACGTTCGTAATCATAAAATCAAAACTTTAAAGAATCTGATATTGTAATATTTGGTGTGGCTGTTTGAAAATTTCACAATCTTATGGATCATAATGCGCAGCATAAAAAGCGATGCCGGTCGGAAACAGATGAGTACTTTCTTTCGAATGATTGTGAGTCTGGAAGAATTTATCTGTCGCTAAAATACCGATCGGCATTTTAATCTGAACCACTGGAACTTCCTTGTTTTCTCCTGCCTTTTCATGATTGTGCGGTTGAACTGGTTAAACAAAAAATTTTTTCAGCATCACCATCTTCATCAGCACTGATTTGTTCAAAATATGCGTCTATTGCTTGCACCAGTGGCTATATGCTCGGAAATGGCGCAACAGTAGGTGCTAATACGTTCGGGATAGCCCATGAAACAGTGCATGACCAATCATTACCGTACCACCATGTTATTTCATCGATTGGTACTATAAACGATGATCAGCTTTGCTCCTGGAATATTCCTAGCACCTCTACTCACTACGGTACCACTCAAGGACTGCCACTTCCAGGTTTTCCTGCACTTTTTCGTCGCCCAAAACATGGAAAGCAAAAATATTTTGTTTTTTTTTATGCAGAACTAGGTTACCATGGAAGTTTGACTTGCAGCTAAGGAGTCTCGTACTGTATGTCAGGAAATTTTTTTAGGTCTAGAAGCAAGCAATATTATTGGACCATCGCAAACAACTCTTGCAGGGCAGTACGAAACACCGTCTATCGAAGCGCCAATTACTGGCATACCCACCGAGGTTTGACTTACATTTTTTTTTCCAGATTTTTCGCTACTCTCCAATAGCATATAAATAGTAACATTCACAATCATACACTTTTCGATTAGCCGTACCAG